TTCAAGAAACAAGGCTCTTCCATCATTTTTGTGGAGGATGTAACAAGTTCATTGAGTACTCTACTAATGAGCTGAGGAGTTGAATAAGGTGTGCTAGACAAAACAGATAAGGTGTTCTCGAAATGTGCAAACACAACACTTTGCTACAATATTTTAAACCACGCAGCTGAAGTCTGTGTTCTTTGTATTGAACCATAAGGTCAATCTGAGATGTTTAGGTCCTCCATTGGTCAAACACCTTTTTTGCTATAAGAATTAGATAGACCGCTCCATGTTCCACTCTCCACAGTTGGCATGCATATAAATGTAAATAGGGCACAGATCTGGCAGGGTCATATTCTCTCTTGTCCTGTGCTTGTTAAATAAAACAAAAAATATATTTAAAACAAAACGCATTTACTTGAGAATTAAATCACTAGGATCCATTTCTCAATACTTATATCACTTTTTCAAAACTGTTTACAGTGAGCACAAGAGCAGTCTTTGTGGGCTATATTAATCATTTTCTATTGCTTTGGCACAAAGTTCAGTCAATGACTACATCTTTCAAATTTCATTAATTATTTCCTCACTAAGACACAATGACCACCAATAAACTGTAACCAAGTTCCTACAGACCAATTTGGACCAAACCGGTTAAAATTAAGTTCAAAACCAAATATAACACAAAACTGAATAAGACCGCATTTCTACAGTAGTACCATAGTGAAACTTATTCCAAATCTAAAAATTGAAATATTATCAAAACAGTTCAGCTACATAGGTGTCTTTTCAATTTCATTACCATCTATACAAGTGGACAACTTAAGAACCATTATGTACTGTAATGTAAACATGGACCATGTAACATATACTGTAGTGAAGTTTAAACTGTGGAGAGCTGTCATTCTTGTTTTGTAAGAACATTTTACAAATGAAAACATTATATAATGCTACTTTTTAGTGTTTTAAGTAATTGTTTTAGGAATGACAACGTGTTTGTTGGTTGATAAACTTTGCTAGTGTTATAGAAGAATGACTTGATTTAAGACATTAATGAAGTGTTTTGGTAGGTTTGCATTTTGGATATGAAATTAACTGCTGTGCCAAGCTATAAGTTAGTAAAGAGGACTGTGTGAAGAAATGTAAAAAAAAAAAAAAATGACCTAAGTATTGATAAATGGGTCTCAGTCATTATAAAAAGTACATTTTATTTCTCGCAATTCTCTATTGTTAGATTTCTCTGAAAACATTT